ATAAAGTCAAAGAGTCATCTCTCCAAAAAAATAATGTTATTCTGCCTATCAAAATTTATAAGAATGTGAGCAAAAATGTTACTATTATTATTGATATAGGATCATTTATAGGTCCTCCAATAGCATATCATTCACTTTATTATTTTAATTATTTATTTTTATAGGATAATAAATATGTCAGCTAAAATCTATAGGAGTAAATGTGTTATTTTGAAATCCTACGAGGGTAAATATGTAAAGGTACTTTTGCTTACGAAACCCTAACGTTCTCGGGCTTCTATAAATATCTCCTCAATGCGTTTCTTCTTCCGCCCCCATCGGTGTAGGGTTTCGTTTCACTCTCCCGCAGTCGCTGACCCTGATGGGTAAGGAGAGGGAGGATGGGTGCCGCGTCGTCGATGTCTGTATCGTCCATAGCGTCCTTGGTAGATGCATCTATGGTTCAAACTTATGGTTCGGGTTTCTGAGGGTTTGGGGAGAAGGATAGGGGATCTGACCTCCGTTTTGCGCGAGAACAGAGTCGAGATCTATGCGGAGAACGTTCCAAATAGAGGGATTTCTCTTACATAAGCTTCTGGGAAGGCCTTGCAGTGAGGAGGTATCCCCTTGTTCATCTAAGTTTCACACTTTCATATTTCTTCAATGTTACAATAAGGTAAAAAATGGTAAGACTTCAAGATGAATTGAATTAATAACAAACCGTAGGTACAGTTTTCTTTTGCTAGCTTAGATATTAGAAAAAGGTGTGCCTTTTGTTTTTCAATCACTAAGAAGTTTCTGTTGAGTAAGTCATATTAATACGCAGTACAATAAATCACACTGGAGGTCATGTCTCCTGTGATTAGCTTTATGATATGATGTCATTTCTTTTTTCTTGTAATGGGCTGTAGAGCTCAATTTTTTTGCTAGCAAATGTTTGATTGCGTATAGCAACATATAAATAGAAACCAGAATTAGTGGCAGTGGCGGACAACTGTGAAGATGCATTGGTATAAGAGAGTTTTAGTTTGTCTTTGATATTCATTTTTGAAGAATTCAGAATTTGCGAACATTTGTGTGTGTTTTTCTGTAAGCACTTTTTATAGTAAGAAGAGTATCAGAAGGTCCTTATGCATGTTTTTTTGTTTCTTCATCAAGATTTTGCTATATTCAGTTTGCATTAGCAATGATAGTCGCACCTGTTGATTGATGAGGTTCCTCTAGCTGTAGTTGTGGAACCTTCACTCAAGGTGCAAAAAACAAAAGCTGTTCTGCAGCAGCGGCCAGACAACCGTAGAGATGGATCCACAGATGATTTGTTTGCAATACAAGTCATCTACTAATTCTATCTCACACTTAATCTCCATGTATGGGCAGCTCAAGGCTGCAGTCAAGTTATAGTGAATGTGACTTTAGATGGCATGGGCTTTTGATGGTCGCACCTGTTGATGGATAAGGTTCCTCTGGTTCTAGTGGAGGAAGCTTCACTTAAGGTGCAAAAACCAAAAGCTGTTCCACAGCAGCGGTCAGACAACCGTAGAGATAGATCCACAGATGATTTGTTTGCAATACTTTTCATCTACTAATTCTGTCTCACACTTTGAGTTCCATGTATGGGCAGCTCAAATTGCTTGCCATGATTGCAGTTAAGCTATAAGAGTGAATGACTTTAGATGGCGCCGGCACCTGTTGATAGAATAGGTTCCTCTAGTTCTAGTTGTGTAACCTTCACTTAAGGTGCAAAAATCAAAAGTTGTTGTGCAGCGTCGGCCAGACAACCGTAGATATGGATCCACAGATGATTTGTTTGCAATACCTCTCATCTACTAAATCTATCTCACACTTAAGTTCTATATATGTGCAACTGAAATTGTTTGTCGTGATTGAAGAGATGCAGGTAAGCTAACAGTGAATGTGACATTAGATGGCACTGGCCATGATAATCGCACCTGTTGATAGATAAGGTTCTTGTACGTCTAGTCGTAGAACCAAAGTTATGTTGGAAAAAAACTCTTATATGGTTCAAACTTATAGTGATTTTTCTTGGAAACAGATAGGGTAGAACAGGGTTTGTTATTCGTAATAATATTGCTAATGTTTTGAACTTGTGGATGTAGGCATCTGTTGCAGTCAGAGATGAGTTTGAGGTTTGCATGTTCTCATGAGGTTGATGCTTTGCTTGCAGACGGAGGTATAAGGGTCTGCACGAGCTAAGCAAAACCAGCTAAGGGGGATGGTCTACAAGCGATGGCGAGAAGGGTTGGGAGTGACCCTTCAGGGGCAAGGGGGATTGGCTAGTGGGGCGGAGACACGATTAGATGGCGGGCACAGGGCGATAGTCGATAGGAGTAACATGGCAGGCACAGGGCGACGTAAAATTTCAGACAATGCATACCCTTTCAAGAAACAATGCATTTTCTCCATTTGTGTTATATTCCATTGGAAAGCACAGGATACTATTCATTATTCTGGTGCGGCTGTCATAATCACAGATGAAAACATTAGCATAACGTAGATCTCAAATCTAGCAATAAACGCAGATAGATCATTGGCTGACCTCCTTATCCATGACTACATCAAAGAGATGAAGTGTGTTCTTGCACAATGTATGCACAAAACAAGCGTTTAAGTGGTCGACTTCCTTTTCGATACGAGTAGTAATGCTCGTTACCCTTCAACCTTTGGTTCAACAATCCACAGGATTCCCCTCTAGTGAGGAGTGAAGACAATCACTTTTGAACGGTCATTCCCGTTTCCCTTGAAACGATTAGTTGCGACCCCTCAGATACAACCTTTGCACGAGAAAGGTGGCACAAGGATCATCGTTGCCTCTACAAACTTGCTATTGCCTCCATATCCTCTCCTTCCTCGCATGATAGCTATGTACAATGAATCCACAAGAAGTGATGTAGTACGAAGCTAATAGTGGATCGGACAAAGATAAAATGATTTTTTGACGCAAGAGAGGCGCTCTGCAAGAAAATTTATATAACTTTGAAACTCAATCTATTATACATATTATAGTTAATTTGTATGGCTTTGACATGAGCATTTAACTAAAAACATTATTTTTATATAACAAAAAATAATAATCTAAAATAAGTAGAACATTATGTCTTATCTGTTCTTTCCTGTTGAGGCTTTTTCTTTTTTTATCAAAACGAGGAAAAAAAGAGAGGAAAATTTCCAATAAATTTTCCAATAAATATAAGGGGGAAGGAAAAATTAAACGAACAAAAAAGTCGAGCTTTCAATGTCAGTTATATATGCTACAAGTCGGATGTATGCCCATTTCTTGTGCCAAATAGATCATGAGGAGATTTACAAGATCATCAGGTTAAACAGAAACAATGAGAACCTGTGAAACCTGGCGGGGTGGCTGTCATCAGACAAATCTTTCTGCTACTAAAGCCCTTTGAGTACAACACTAATTTTGTGCTTGTAAAGCACGGAAGTTGGTCACCTCGGAGGGGGTTCTGACGCCTGACTGTTGCTTGAGGCAGGATTGGAGGTGATGCGCAGGAGAGATCCGTTTTCCTGGGGTGGTGCTGCCCCCCATTTTGAGTCGACGTCGGATGGCTCCACAACGTGAACTGCACCGTCGCTCATCCCCAGTGCGATCTGATTTGGTTCGGACGGGTGAGCCGCAATCACCATGGGATAAACTGGACCAGAACTGGGGAGGAAAATAAAGATGAGACACATCAGAGCTGATACAGTATTTCTGAGATCCTATAAACATGAGACAGAAAACAGCATGGATGACATCTTAAAAAATCCCAATTACATGAACCAGGATAGGAAGAAGTGAAAGGAAATAACCAGGATTGTGCATCATTAAGCTATAATTTTCAAGATCCCTCTTAGCTAACATAATATAACCCATACTGCAACCTAGGGTTGTGCATAGAAGGTTATAATTTGCTATCATAAATTGAGGCTAAAATTATGCAAACGAGATCCATTTCACATGAACTTGACATACCTAGAAATGGATGAGCTTATATAAGCAGTAAGCGCAATTCGACAACGAAGCTTCAGGCTATCTGCTTCAAAAACTCCAACTGCACCATCACAAAATCCGGCATATACCAAGAGACCATCACAAGAATACACTGCACTAGAAATTGGAGCTGGTAGTGGATCTCTAGGCGACCACTGCACCAGAGGAAAAAATAATTAGTGCACTGGAAAAAGTTTAATGGTAATCAAATCTGAGGAATTTCTCCTGTCTGAGAAAGAAGGAAAAATAAATAATCATTTAGCCTCTAAATAACTTAAGGCATCAAAGACACGTCAGCTCGTATCGAGACAAAAGCATCTAGAAAGTTTGGCGTCCTTCAGCCATAGAATTTCACTGATCGTGTCAATCCCTCCCATTCTAAATATTCTAAATTTGGATATACATCGAGAGGATAGAGTTATTATCAAAATTACATTAAGCAATGCCGTGCTTAAAAACATATTCCTTAATTTGGCAATGATTTTGAAGTCAAAAATCAAACAATTAACTAAGAAATGCTATAATATAAAATGAGAAGCGTACAAGACCAAGAGTAGCCAATACATTCAAGAAATTAGCATAGATACAGCTTGATTAACTAGCATGCTTTCTATGGAATTGTTTGACAGATGCATATTTGCAAAGGTCAGAGCACAAGAACTAACCGAGCGCAAACATTCAAGCTTACTGTCATAGATTCCCAGTTGGCTTTCATGAACGACCAAGAGGTGTGTCTGATCATTGTGAAATTGAACTTTGGTGTCACCAACTAAAGGAGATGTACGAGAGGCTGGTGCCTGGATAAATCGTGATTTTTTCTTGTCCCATCCATCAATGCTCCACATGCAGAGCTGTCACATCAGTTGATTAGTCTTTAAGAGAATTGCCAAATCTAATAATACATGCAACATTTGAGTGGGCCAGAAGTCAGCAATATTAGTTCTGTGGCTAAATTTCACATCAACCACATACATCCTATCCTAGAACATGCAACATTTGAGTGGGCCAGAAGCCAGAAATATTAGTCCTGTGGCTAAATTTCACGTCAACCATGTTAGTTTATAGCTGCATGGTTGAGAACAAAAATCAATGAAGATAATATAATCTTTTGTTCAAATAATTAAGTACCAACAACTCCCTGCTAGAACAAGTCTGAATCACAATACTAAGTATATACATAATTTTGGTCTGCACACCTGAGCATCAGCTCCTGAAGAGACAAGCACAGTTAATGACTGGGAAAACGCAAGACCTGTTATTTTTTTCTGATGACCTTTCAACTTGGTTTTAACCTGCAAGCATCCATGAAATGTAATTAAAATTAAAATGGACAAACAATAAACAGAAAATTCAAGTTAATAATTTCTTCCCCTGATCATGAAAAGCAAGAGATATGAAAGCAAAGCTTAAATAATGAGAGTAAACCAGATTCTGGGCAAGCTATAGAAACCCAGAAGGCAATAGACATATAGTATCAGACAAGTAATTCCAAGAACATGCAGATTAAGAAAACTCAAGGAGCATAAGATACAAGATTTACCTCATCAACACGAACATTATATATCTGAATACTAGAATCTTCCATTCCAATTGCAATAATATTGTTGTCCTGAGGATGGAATGCTAGGAAGGTGGCTGCAGGTGGGGGTGCCATGAATGTTGTCATAACCTGTGAAACACCTTTAGCTTTAAGAGACAATAGAAAAATTCTTACTAGAAAGAAGAAATGACAAAAGACTCTCTAGACATGTTACTTACAAACTAGCTGTTACAAGAAACAAAAGTTGCAACATAGCATTAGATGACACATTGTACCTTGAAAGTCATCATGTTAAACAAAGAAACCTTTCCACCGGATGCAGACATGACATAAGAGTCGTTCTTTGACAAAGCAATACATGCAGTTGCTTCTTCTGGATTGCTGTCACTTGTTTCATTAGTCATTAGAATACCATTTGCTGGTTGCCATAGCTGAGGGGCGACAGATGTGGTTGACTGGAGAGCCAACAAAAGGAGCCATCAGAAAACAAGCTAAAACTAAATGTCTCATTAGGAAAATAATAACTGACCTTGCCAGATGGATTACGCTCATTCCGTGTCCATTTCCACAGCTTATGGATTGCATTGGAGCCAAGTGCCAATACTGCCAGCCCAGAGTTTGTGTATAACAAACGAACAACCTGTAATAACAAAAGATTATAATGTCAAAAGATCTACATCAACTTCATAACAAGGCAGCAAAAACTCGGATAGATGAATCTGCAGTAAAATATAAATGTGGTTTTTTCAATTAAAAATCACAATGATACCACAAGATCTGTTAGACAGATAGCCCATGTCTCAAAATTATCCTTTTGTATGTCCAAAGTTACATTGACATATGCTGGCGTCAATCCTCGAACAATTCTTATATAATGTAACGCATATTTATAGGAAGGGGTAACCAGCAGTGGCCACATTAAGAGAAAATATATATCGTATTTATATAACAACTGAAACTTACAAAAGTGACAAAACTACCCCATGAGTGACCCAAACTATCCAGTAGTAATCACATGGAGCAAACTGACAGATAATGAGGAATTAGATGACAAAGAATTAGTTAATTTTTTTATTGAAAATTGTTTGAACTTTGAAGAGTGTGAAGTGATGAAAGTTTTGGTACATTTTATAACAATGAATTACTGGCATAGCACGGACTATCAAGGCATATGCCAGAATCTGGCACATTAACATGCACCAGATATACAAGACATACTGTACAACACCATGATGATTGCAAGTTTGGCCAGCAAGACCTTAATAATCGTTGAAATTAATTATCAATTCATTATCCCCTGATATATCATGTAATAGATTAGACCAATATAAGCCACTCTCTTCCTTTAGTATCTTTAACTATCAGAGTCAGAAAACAGTCCAAATACCATGATTTTGAGATACAGAGTATGTAACATACAAGGTTACAGATTTTAGGGCTGCTTTATACATAATATCTCTCTTCTGACCATAAGTCACCACAAGAATTATGGCCAATAGCAATGACCATGGCAAGAAAGATAATCTGTTTTAGTGTCTAGAATAGTTTCAATTAACAAAAAATAATTCATACTTGGTTTTTTTATATTTCTATTAAAGCCAGGATGAGGAATTGATACAATAAAAACTTTGATGGGAACAGAAAAATACCTTGCTTGATGTCGTCACTGGATCTGGCAACCGCAAGGCTTTGAGGTGAGCAGAATCAACAATATCAGCTAATTTCCAGCATTTTATCTTTTCAGAATCATCTGAAATCTTTGGTTTAATATCTGCAGCCTGCAGCTAGTTGTTTAATGGTTATAACTCTTAACAGGTTATGAAATATTATAATATGGCATAATGCATTATGAACTTACCAAGCTACTCATTGACACTACAGGCAGGGTTCGATCGGTTAGTTCAGGAGTAGCTGCTATAGGACTAGAAACATTTGAAACAGCTCCAAGTGCATTTACAATCGGGGCCTGCATGGAGTATATAATATTGATTGAGTAGGATGAACTCCGTAGGACCTTGTTACCACTATCAAGTACTCATTCTTGGACTACTATCATATAGCTTTACTTTCAATTACATAAAGGTGGATAAGAAGTATTAAAGTTTTAAAAAATCAATCCTGCAGGACCAGTTTAAAAAAAGGGCCAGCAAGCATGAAAGACCTCTCAGACAGTAAGATTTTGGAATCTAAAGCTTGCTGGCTGTTTTATTATTGTGGAACAGAATAGGAAAGAAAAATGCAATAGGTCCCAGCTGATGCTACAGAAACATTGATGTAAAGCAGGTTACGTGACTTGTCAATCATGAAAAGATGCAAGTTCGGAGCAGGAAAACTAAATGGTTAACATATGACAGCAGAAGACTTTGAAACAAACCTGAAGCAAAGGTCAGTCTAAAATATTTGAGTATGGAATAGACCATATAAGATTACCAAACAGAAGTGATAGGAGTAGATAAAGAACTGAGGATAAGACAGATACCGGATAGCAGCCAAAGAAAAAACTCAGCTTAATTGTCATCACTCATATGCCATCTCTCTAAGAAACTAACACGTGACTCTCCACAATGACAGGACAAAGCTAATAAGACACAAACTAGGCCTCTTCAAAAAATCTAAATAGAAGTGATACCCATTAGTACCCTCAGAGACTTGGGCACCAAGTTTCTGTAGCATTACTATGGTGCTACAGTAATATGTACTGTTCATATTACAAAAGCATAAACAGTAACGGTAACCAATACACGTTCTGGACCTAAGGTACCATTCAGTAGCTCTTAACCAATTTAACCCAAACTTGGACATCCCTTGGGTCTCATCCAAAAAATGAATTTGTTTGATGTTTTCTTCCATTGCATTCCATTATTTTTATGAGTTATAATCTCTACCCATGTGGCATCAGCAGTTCATTGCTTTGGAAAACAAGAATCCATATTGACTAGAGGGTAGATGTCCATATGTGGTAATTTCTGAACCAATATGGTAAATAGGCATGATTATCAGCAGTTGTGTATTTAATAACTATCCAGCACATATATAGCTAGCTGGGAGCATTAATTGATAGGGAGGCTATCCCTCAAGAACTTCTACCAGAAGCCAACAGTCTCTTCTAAAGTCAGTTGGCAAAACAAATACCTTTACATTAGCATTAATCTGTTGAGAAGTAACACGAGTGCCTTCAAATGCCCTACTCTCAAGCACCCTCACCAACCGTTGTCCATCAGCATTAGCTAAGATTTTAAGACCATTGTCACTTGTTGTAACAGCCAGCAATGATCCTTCACGGTTGAATCTCAGACGAGGACTTGCCTGCAGGAATGAAGCATAAAGTAAGCTGAAAGGTTCCAAGTGCCATGCTTGCAAAGCAGAATCAACAAATACAGATACTAACAGGCAATCCACCATCTGCATCAGTTGTAGTCAGTATATTAATGTTGTCCATATCCCAAAACTTAATCATAAATTCATCTCCAGCAGCCAAGAACCGGTTCTTTGTGGTGTCAAATTGGACAACTCCTAATGAACGTTTTCTAAAGCCAGAGTATGTCCTTTTAATAGCTCCCTCAGTCTCATTCCACTCAACTAAATGTGATTCACCATCTTTACTGGTTCCACAAGAAAAGAGCCTACAAAAAGATTAGAGGATGAACATTTAGAAATCAGGTACAGCATTACAATTCTGAAATTGAATAACGACACCGAGGATGCAGAGACAATTGCACACACATGAATACACAAGAAATGGCAGTAAAAAGACTGCTGGGAACATGAAGGATGACTATCATAGGCTATCTGGGCCCTGTTACAGCATCCAGATGCTTGAAGCTTCCCAATGTTATTATACACATCTACATCAATGCAATTCCAAGTTTTGTTAGTTAGAGAGACAAACTTCACCTTGTTCCATCAGCACTGTATGCCATTGTCGTGCACCAACGTCCAGGAGCATCATAGTCAACTCTAGAACCCAAACAATCATAGAGCCATGCCTTGATTTTCCCATCAATGGCAGTGGAGAAGATGAACTGCAAAGTCAGCATAATACTTTAGAAGGGTGACTGAACGAGATACTCAGAGCTAACTCCCAACATCAACAACAAACAATGAATAAAAACTAAAGAGACCAGATCAACATGTATGACTCACATAACAGGAAACGAGTATTGATCTTGCAAAGCTTATATTTCAATGGATAAGATAATACCTGGATTGATTCCTTATAGTGTGGGCAAACAGAGTATACAGGAGCATCATGGCCCTCAAATTTGTACTGCTTCTGTCCTGTTGTAGCATCCCAAACCTGCCAGTCATGCAATCAAAACAGTGAAATAATTATTTTGGTTCTTATATTTTAAAAAGATAAAAAGAAAAACATATCCTCTGGTGCTCACTTTAATTGTCTTGTCATCACCACATGTGATTATCGACAAACTCTTGGTGGGATGAGAGAAGGCAATATCATTGACACCACCAACATGAGCATCGATCTACAGGATAACCAGTCAGACACCCAATATACAGAAGGCTTATAAATCAACTTTTAACCTACCTCCACCGGTTGCCTCAACTCTCCATTTATATTAAAAGCATATATTTGAACAATATGCTTCGAAAAAGCAATGCCTACAAAACATCACAAAGAAGTAAATTTTAGGGTTGACAAGAACAAAGAACATATCACAAAGCACAAATCTGTTCATTTAGGACCAGATTTAAATGGAAACAGGATCTAGCCTAGTTTTCTGTACCAAATATAGATCCATCCGGACTCCATAAGCATCGATTGACAGATATGGCAGCATCTTTCATTAGTGCAGCCTGCAAATTAAACAAACAAGGATTACTTGATTCTTGCATTATTAATAGACAACAATAACACAACAAGGGTGATTTTCCAACTATTTGGGGTCTGTCACATGGGTCTTTTCCCTCCATTTTGCAATCAAATCACTATTTATTGTTTCTAACAAATATTCTTGGGTCTTTCTAGCTCTCTTCCTGCCAAGAATCCTAATTGACTAGTTTTGTCTAACATGGGAACTTATAGATCTCTTTAGAACAGTTTCATATCATCCTATATAGTTTTTCCTCATTACATTCTATGGACAATAAAAAAAATCAAATTTTAACTTCTCTACATCCATCTCAACATTCTTATCTTGACAAACAGTATTTTTATACATAGTTCCATCAAGCACTTTGATCAGTGAAGTATGGTTGGACTTAGAACTGTCTTGTACAACTTTTTTAACCAAGGGATAATATGATGATCATGGAAAACTTCTAAAATTCACTCTCCAATTTAACTTCCTTGGTTAACAGATCCAAGATATATAAAATTTTTATTTATAGGACTTCTATGACAATCTTAACCATGATCACTGTTTCTGTCTTACATTGCTAAGATTGCATTTCTTATGTTCGATCTTAGCCATTTTTATTATAAAATCTATAGTTGCTAGTACTTATTTATATGATTCAAGTTAGAACTAGTCTCAAATAAACTAAATCAAATAATAGCAACAGAAAACAACATATATAATGAAGGTCTATCCTGTAACATACTAGGAAGTAAATCCATTACCAATATGAAAAGATAAGGATTAAAAATTAAACCTATGTGTAACCCTATGGCTGTAAGAAACTCTTTAGAGACACCTCTTGTATCATACACATTTTTATAGCATCAATATAACTACTATATAATTTTTTAATCAAAATCAACCATAATAAATCTCTGAAAAGTTTACCAATAGGTTTTTCCTAAATCAATATAAACCATATATATCATTCTTCTTTTTTTTCTTTATTTTTCCATTATTTGATCTAACAAAAAAATAGCATCAAACTTATCCTCCAAATGCAAAACAATATTGCCTCTTGGAAATATTCATCTCACGTCTTTGTCTACATTCAAGCTCATGCTCTCAAAAGTTTAGTGATATGGTTCATTAGTTTAATTTCCCTAGTAACTTGAACTTTTTCTAATATCTCCTTAACCTTTACATGTCAATATTGAAAATCATCTCTATACATCAGACTTTTTTTTTCATATCTCAAATTATATTATGAGAACTAAACCAAACCATCACTTAATCTTATGAAAATGTCCAAACTTCAATAGAATATCACCATGTTTACACTCTTACCAATTCCCAACCTCGTTGAAGCTTCCTTTAACCCATTCTAAATTTTACATTAGTAATAATGTAAGACTAAGAGAAATTCCAACTTACAGACGTACCTGTAAAGACACAGTACAAGTTCCAATCTCCCAGACCTTGAAAGTTCTATGCACTATCCTTTCTCGAGACCCAACTTCCCATATGGCAATGTCACCAACATTTGTTCCAACTATAGAGTAGAATCAAGAAATACATATGAGCAAAATTTAGATACAACATTAGTACTGAAACATTCCTGAGTAAATTGGTTCCAGCAGTTACCAAGAAGAATTGTTTGATGCACAGGGTGGAAATCCAAACTCATGATATTTGACCCCTGACTTAGTGTTCGCACAACACTTTTTGGAATATCATCTTGGGAGTAGATATTGGGTGGATGAGTTGCACCAGGAAACGACACCTATGAAAATGATTTCTTTGTTAGAGCATAACTGATTCATATTTAAATAAAATAACCACAAAATAGGTAGTAAATATGTTTCCATACCTCATCCGTTTGACCCATACGCATTCTCTTCATCAAATGTTCAGAGTCTGCTGTTTGATAATCCATACCAGGGGCACTTGTAGGAGTCCTTGGGTGCTTCAAAAAGGCAGCTATGGAAGGGAGTGAATCAAGAAAATATCATAAAGTCTATCTAGCAACAAAGAATTTATGCATTTAGAGGAGGCAATACCTGTATTTGGAGGTTGAACAAGACCTGGGGGACCTTGTGCCATAGCAGCATGTGGTAATGGTGGGTTAGCATTTGTCATCCATCCTGCAATGGCACTCGCAGGTGGAGAGACAACTGGTTGGAATGGCTGAATCTGGAAGGAGGTCAACAGTAATCAATGAGAAGAACAACAAAAAAGGGACCAGAAAAGGAGTTGAATCCCACTTACACCATGAGCACCCATCGGGGGGAATTGCCCAGATTTAGGAATGGCCCCAACAAGAGGGCCATTGGTAGGTGGAGGTGCACGAGCTCCATTGGTAGGAGCAGCACAAGAATGATCAGTAAAAAGTGTTTTGATATCAGGGTTTGGCCGTGGATTCTTGCAAAGTTGATGCTGCCAATTAAGACTAAAAATGAGGAGACAATTAGTCTGAGTTAAGATGTTAAATTCAATACAGATTCATCGGAGAAGATTTTTAAAAAATTATAAAAAATATTCCTACAGTGCTTCTGTGTATACGTTGCAGACCACTATCCCTAACAACGCAATTACTATCAATATACATGCACAAATAATCGTACATGCAATGGATGACAAAAGAAAGGTACTGATCATATAAAAAAAGCAAATGCATACCTTTGATTTATTAATGTCCTCAGCCGAGAAGCTTTAAATGGTGGAAATGTCAATTTATCCCGGAACAAAGGATTAGCTTCAATGAGTTTCTTAAGCTCCAGAAGCATAATATTTCTAGCTGATTTAGTGTCTCCGTACTTAGAAAGCTGTTCATTTTGCCTACACAAGTTTCAAAGATGTAAAACATAAACTATTTTCTTCAAAAAGGAGACTCACAAGTTATGCGAGTCACAACTGTTAGAATCTATGCTCACTTACCTAAAATTCTCCAGGGTAAGCAACTGGGTGATTTCCTTAAATAGTTCCTCATTAAAAGAGGCAAAAACTTTGAGATCCTTCACGAGTATTTCAACAGCCTTTGCCCTATCATGCCTGTAAGCATATATAACAATTGATTTACAATAAAGAAAAGGATGCAATGAAATTTTGAAAAATGAACTCAGAAGATGAACAACAAAATCCCACCTATCTAGTGCTTCCAGGTACTTCTGCTTCCTGATCTCAAAGAAGATTTTCATCGAATAGCGATTGTCCTCAACCTTGGTGAAACCACCAAGATAACGTTCAACTTCGTCCCATTCCCCTGCCTGAACGAGATCCTCAAAGTGCTTCATATTGAAGTAAAAGCCTGACTCTTGTTCCAACCTATAATTCAACCAGCTGCTTGAGTATACAGGAAAAGAAATATCACGAGCTCTAAATGACAGGGCTGAGGATAGATAATTCAGCTTACTTATGAACGGTTTCCTTGAACTTTTCCTCGTCCAGGAACTGCAATATCAGGAAAACCAATTCCCTGCTCAAAGAAGACATGGTTCCCGGAATCCCTAAACGCTCCAGCGCAAATATTTAAAATTCAAACAACGAAGTGCGACCTGTGTAGGTCGCAAGTTTTCCTCTCAAACACTTCAAAATCGCTCCAAAATGCGCAAAGATGAAAGCTTTTTCCCGCTCGAAACGTCGGCGGCACTTGATGAACAGATCTGAGACGCTAACAACCAGCAAAATCAACAGCACATAAATCCAGCAGCTAAACGCACAAGAAAACCCGGCTCGCCAAATACAACCCCACAAAGTACCAATCCCCTTTTTATCCAACCAAACTGAAAACCCACCGAGAAACGCAACAGAAGAGAGAGGAAACCCCTATCGGACCACCATTAACGCGGAAGAAAAACCGTGCGAGCGATCCAGAGCTGATCTGCGCCGAGACAGGAGCTTCCCCCGCCAATCCCCACAAATCAACCCTCGATCTGGAGCTCGGTTCCTCGCAAACCCAATAAAAATGGAAATTTTCAGAGAACAAAGACGGATTCCCAGCCACTGGAGTTCGGAAGATCGCCGCCTCTCTTTCCTCCTCCCGCTTCTTCTCTCCTCTCCAGCCGCCGTGTTCTCCTTCTCCTCTCTCTCTCTCTCTCTCTTCCTCTCTCTCTCTATCTCTTTCTAGCCTTTTATAACTCGAAGGGCCTCATCCTCTCGGCTCATCCGCTTTTATAGCGGCCAAATCCTGGCGATTAGGTCGCGCCAGGAGCAGCAAACTAGCCCTGTCTTCACCAATATTTACGACTTTACCAGAATCGCGTCACATCACTCTGACCAACCGTACAGGAACCGGAAGGGTATTATGATAAAATCGCAATACCACGCGTCACGTCCGGAGGGGCATTCTCGGAACAGGGAGCGCGTCATATTGCAGACGGGACCGTGGGTATAACCGTCATTTTAATTCAACAAAAGGCATCCGAGGCCAATTCCGTCATTCCATACCGCGTCACGGTAGCCCGCCACGTCGTCTTTCCTCGTACTTACTATCCCGCCCTCTTAGATCTTTTTAAAAATTCTGGTGGACATTATTCCAATTTTAGAACGTGATAACCTCACCCCATATTTCACGCTGTCCTCTCTGCTCGATCACTCATCTCGTGTCGGATGAGTGGCAGTAGATGAAATGAAGGCGGGGTGAGCGTAGTCCCGCGCTGGGCTATCAGGTTGTTGCTTTCCGGTGTAGTGCGTGGCAGCTGTCAAGTCGCCATATGTACCAACAACTGCTTATAACATTGATAAGACCGACTGCTTATCTGATACGTAGGTGTATGACCGGGTACGGGCGGATCACCCCGAGACGGGCAGCTTCTGTTGCAACCAGTAGGATCCGCCCACGTGTCCTTCTTCCCTTGGCACGCATCACGTGATGCTGCATCTTCCACGTGCTATAGAACGGAAGCGGAAAAAGAGGATTCCCTCTGCTCCCGCTTCGCACTTTGATTGGAAATCGCATTGGGACCCGCAGCGAGGGGGCTTAAATGACGCCTCTGTCTCTTACATTTAAGTGCGGGAGCAAAAGGGTCAAAAATCGACGGCGCGAGATGATTCCTCCAAAGGGCATGATGGGTCGACAGGATTTATTACTGCGCACAGAGGTGGGTCCCGAATCACGGCCGTTCGTGGGTGGGCCCGGTGCCATCACATGGCTAGGCAAGGCGGTACACGCACCTAACCGTGTTTCTAATGTCGGTACGTGATTATCTTACGGCGGGGCCCAGTTGTGGAGGCCATCATGTGCGTGACGTACGGCGAACCCCTTTGGGGAGCAATTTTTAAGCTATCCTTTCAATCTCACCTGCCGAAATACCCGCCATCTGATGTCCGAAACGTGGAGTCCCCCAACTGGTCCCCACCGCGACGTTTCTCCCGGGCCGCGGTCGTACTATTCGGGGAAACAATCGACGGCAGAACAAAAAGGACGAGTGGTTGTTGCTTACTCGCCCAATAGTGCCCCACATTCGACGGTCCCAGGCGCCCCACGTCGTCCGTCACCCCGCGCCAACAAGACGCCAGTTTTCCCGACGTGAAACGTGTGGCGGCCCCAGGGTTTGCAGCATGGGCCCCAGAACGATCTCCAATACGATTCCAGGATCGCTCGAGGGTATACGTCGAGTGGGTACAATAGTTCGGACCCTTTTTAAATCAAAAAAAATAACGTACGAGTTTCCCTTTACGCCCCCGTTATTTTCAATTATGGCAGCAGAGTCAAGTACGATGACAACCACTAATAAATAGATAATGACGAGGAAGGGGACGCGACAGTCATTAGAGAAAAGAAGAAGGTCAAAATATAAGGGCAAAGAGAAGAAGTAACGTGAGTGACGGGGATCGAGTCGCCGGGACGCAGGGACGAAACTGCCCTTGGTATGGCCATGTTATTCTGGGAACCGACACGTGAAACGAGGATAGGATCGAAGGCTTTACGTGGGGGAGGGGACCGTTTTGAACCCCGATATATCGGCGAGAATTCCCCGATACGATAAAATACTCCCGTATCGGTCAAAATGTCGGAATGGCCGACATGAGAGAAGACGACATTATCGCGAGAGATTCTTTCTGTGTCGCATGCGAGGAGCCGTTTAGTCGCATAATAATTCTTTTACCATTTTTTTAACCCGATTATTCTACCCTTCTATTCATTGTACAATCTTATGTGGGACCCCGAACCACGGAAGACCGGGTAGAAATATGAGGTAGTGGAATCAGTGACTTTAGGAACGCCACAATGGAATATAATATATATATATATAAGCACTTTGACCTTTATATATATATATATATATAGTAGTCCAACTTTAAATAACATGGTGATAAAGTCTTATATAAAACTATTTTCTAACTTGGTAAGGTTTATATTTTTATGTTAATTATGAGACAATTTGAATTATTGAATGTACACACTTGATAATGATAAAGTAGGGCCCACGTGAAGGGTGGTCCCATAAGCCTCCAACTTTGAATGGGATTGTTGATGGACTCTATGGTGGAATAAGAAACTCTTCCATCAAGAGCTACTTCATAATGCATGGATGATGCAATTTTGTTGGACACATTGGGGACCTCACTTTCATAGTATTGATTTCTCAAGAATGAGTCATTGTCAGATATGTGTGGAGAAAAAGCCATGAGAATGAAGTGTGCATCACATCATCAAGGATTGGTCAAAAACAAACAATCATCCTTTGATGGCATTCCCACACCATACATGGGAAAGTGTGCATCTTTGGTGACAAGAGCTTGGCAAGGACCAACAAGGTCCCACAATGACTTTGTGATGAGAGGAGAACATAAATGACATGAGCCACATGTTTTCTTGTGTTCATGTTTCTGAAACAAAAAATGTTTTAGTTTTTTGAACATTTGTTTTAGCCTAAATAAATCATAGTTATCAAAATCTCGAAATTATTTTTAATATAAAGCATATTAATCATCTAAAAGTATATTCAAGTTTACTATTTTTAATAAAAGTTATGATTGAATATAAACAAAAATGATAATGTTGAATTCCTAAATTACCATTTATTGCTTTTATCAATTATTTGACTATCCATGTATTCAAATATTTTTCAAGGAAAAGTAATACCTATTTTATTTCGACATTTAATGATCAATTGACAACATTAATTATGATGATATATTTAAAATAAAAATAAAAATTGATTAACTAAATTAATTGATTATAAAAGATATTTCAAGTGTCAAAGTGTCATAAAAAAATTCAGTCTAGAGGACCACTAAATATATATTTTTTATTTATTTTTCTTTTCGGTAAAAGGATCCAAATGGGTCTTTGTCTCGTTTCTATTTACTCGATCCAATCAGAACCAATATATATATATATATATATATATATATATATATATATATATAGAAGTCAATGAAGAAAAAGAATAGAAAAGGATAGAAGATGAGAGAGAGAGAGAGAGAGAGAGAGAGAGAGATTGGGAGGTGAAGGCAGAAGAATGGACTGCTTTGTGTTGACAGTCTCTTTCTACTTCTTCTCCTTCTTCTTCTTCTTCTTCTTCTTCTTTGCTTTGGTTGGATTGATTGTATCACGAGAAGTTGCAGGCAGCATTCGATCGACGACTGCCGAGTAGATTGCAACTGACACTGACCGTTGTCTTGTCTGCACTCCTTCGAATCAATAGTTGTTTTCTCTTTCCTGCTTTTTCAGTCAGCTTTTTTCTTTGAGCTTTACGGAAGAATCAAAGATGTACAGATACCCAAAAAAGAGAGAGAGAGAGAGAGAGAGAGAGAGATGGAGGACAGCAGTCTGTGCAGCACACACATCTTTGTTGTAGCTTT